GCAATTTTTGGGTGCTAGCTAATTTTTTGTGCTTTTTGTCATCAGAATCCCTGAATCTCCTTCCCCTGAAAATGAGAAGCATATCAGTAGGCTGTCAACTTTGCTTTTAAAGGTGGACTTAACAAGCTGTAAAAGAAACAAATTTCAGGGAAAGACAGGAGAAAGAGAAAGGAAGAAACAGTGATCGCCATACTAAAAGAACAGGCTTGAGACTGAAGATGTTCTCTTCTGAGGTAGTCCCTGGCTTCCTGTCTCATCTTTACCACTAGTATTTCTCTTCCCATCTCTAACAAGGGAAGTAGTAGTATTTTCTTTTTCCTGTTTTTGTCTGTTTGGTCAGCAAGCTTTTTTGGCAGGGAACTCCTTTATGCTCCATACAGTAAAAACCTTGGTTCTATTGGGCCTCAAGGGACTCTTGTGATATGAACAGTAAGAAAAGGGCAGGAAGATATCCAAAGGCATATTTTGAGACAAATGGTCAGTAGTTCATGTCTTTTTTTCTTTCTTTCTCTTTTTAAAGTAGGGGACAAATTTCTTTGCCTCAGTAGTAGGGGAAGTTAAGGCATTTCTGAAACACAACTTTGAATAGCTTGGCACAGTTCAGTGTGGTGTTCAGTAGGCTTTGTGGTCCTTCATAGTTACCATGAATGCATCATGCTTGCCATTCTTGTCATTGACCCCAAATCAGGTAGCTTTTCCATTTCAGGGATTGGGAAATAATCTGCATTATTTTATTAGTACTGAGTCGTACTTGTGAGTGTTTACGGTTAAGCAGCCAGCAGTGTTGGTGGAGAAATCAATAGGGTAGAAGTCGTGGATTTGGTAAGTGTCTGATCGTGTCATTTGATATGCACCTAGATGTGTCTGGCTGTTCCCCACAGCATGTTGAATAAATATCTCTCACATACACACTTAAATATCTAAACACAGGTTTCAGAGGTGTGTTGGAACAACCCAGGACATTGGATGTTGCAACCTACAGTCTCCCTGGGCATAATTTCTGTGAGAAAAAGTTGTTCTGTAGATAGGTATGTACCTTTAATTTTCAGACATCATGACAGTACTGTTTTAAGTAGGGCAAAATGTGGTTTGCCCATAGTCTGGTCTGTAACTGGAGCTGCATCTGGTGCTCGTGGGAATGCCATGCCTCACATCTGATCTGGAATGCCAATAAGTCCATATGAAGCTGTTAATGTCTGTGTGAGGTTTTTCAGTCCTCATTACCAACCTGATAGGAAGATAATTCCTCAGCTGCTGTTTCAACCTGTGGGATTTTACCCACTTAATTAATTTTCTTTCTTGTTAAAAAAGATCTCTTTTTATGCACAAGGAGCTGTGCTTGACTTGTTTTTCAGGGACTCTTCTCATGTCTGTATCAAAGGCACAGAGGCCTCAGAAGTTGGAAGGTGAGCCCTAGGGGCAGCCTGCCTGTGGAGGCTGAGCTTGGAAATGCTGCTTTCTGTGCTGAGGGCAAGCTCCTGGTGGGGAATCAAGTTTGCACAGTGGAGGGGACCCTTGTTCCGTTCCCTGCTCCCCCCTTTTGTCGCCACTCAGCAATAAAATGGAACCTTGTGACATGACCAAAGGATAATAAACTGCATGCCCAGTGCCTGCTGAGAGTTTAAAATGCCAACCTACACCACCCTCCCCAACCTTTCAGCATGTCAGCAAGCTGTCTATGTAAATAAATACACATATCAAACAATAAACAGATGCCTTTTTAAAATGCACTGTTTCAGGCTGAGATACTCAGTTCTGATGTAGCTCATCTCAACATCTATCAGGCTGATGCCAACTCCACAGCTCCCTTTCAGCTGTATTCAATGCACAGAGGTTTGTGTTGTGTTAAGTAATGAGGAATTGGCTTGTTTTACATCTGTTTTGTTGTTTGTGGTGTATAAAATGTTAGATAGGAATTCTTTGGGTTCCTCCTGATCTCTGTGTCAGTATATAGTGAAAACTCTTGTTCATTATGCTTGATTAAGTGGGTTTATACAAGCCTGTGTGCGATTGTACAAATATACAAGGAAGAAAAAAAGTCATTTGCAAAATATACCACCATGGGGGCCCCAAAGAATGCAAACACTGAAGTGGGGAGGAAGCTGAAATCGGGTTGGATTTAAAATAAAATTTGTTTTAAAAGCTAAATTCCAGCATAGTCACTTGTACCCCTTAAATCAAACTGAGGAGCCACAGAGTCTAAATCCCCAAGGGTGTATCTCAGTGCAGTGTAGTGGGAGGGGCACTCATGAGCTTCTAGGCTGTGTCAGATCATGTCTAATCCAGGGTCTTGTCTCTGATAGCAGCCAGTAGAGATTAGAGAGAATGTTAGACCAGTACAACAACCAGGAGAAATTCCACATTAAGCTCTTGTTTATTTTTGTTTTCATATTAAAAATAAATTGAGCCCAGGTGATCTATAGTCTGCTGGGCCTACTCTTTTGAAAATTCACCAGAAGGCTAAAGCAGTGTTGGATCCCTGGGTGCAGCTGTCAATGTCTGTCCCTCTACATCAGTCTCAGAGAAGGTGTCTGGTTTTTATAGTCCTTATTCTCATTTCTCACATGCTAATGCTTTTGCTCTAACCAGATACAACAGAATCACATTTAAAATAAAAAACCAAACCTGATAGATTCTTTATGCACACAACAAGTCTTTAAGACAGCTCTCCATCAGACTTTTCTGAAGTCTGCTGTAAGAAAGGAGAATATTTCTGCTATTTGAGACTCTCAATTGGACTACATATAAACAAAGCAGGGGGAAGAAGAGAGGCATGACCTTCTACTGGAGAGGAGGATTTAGATGACCTAATACATCTTTTTTCTAATGTTTCTTGAATAGAGATGATTGACAGCTCTCATTTGAACAAGCATGCACAGAAGGCAAAATACATTATTAGTGACCCTAAATATATTAGAGCCCTGTGCTTCTGATCACAGTGATGCATCAGCTAGAATAGTAATAGGGGATGAATGGGGTTTGCCTATGTGGATAGCACTGTTCTTCCACAGTGGAAAGGAAAAATTGCTAGTTAAGATGCCATTGAATCAAATTTTTGATGACTCTCTGTACACCTCCCTGACACCTTCATCATGTGGTTTCAGGTAGCTTTACAAACCTGAATATTTTCTTCCTTCACTATCTTCAAAGGCTGGGAGTTACTACCCAATACTGCATGTCTGAAAGGAATAGGACTGTATTCAATAGGATATGTTTCTACCAGGCAGCAGACATGTTCTCCTGTGCAGAAATGTATAGACGTGCATTTTCTCCATACAAGCACTTCAAATACTTACCCTTCCTCTTTAAAGAAACTAAAATGTGGTTGGTAGGTGTGTATTTGAAATGCAGGTGCAGAGCAGGGAAGAGATTTGTAAACAAATACCCACAGGAGGATGAACTGCAGCTGAAAGTGTGATGAAAGACTCCACTAGAGACATGGGCACGGAGAACATCTGCTCAGTACTGGTTTGGTGGTCTGCTCTGCTCACTAGACCACGCTGCCACCCTAGTGCACATAAGGTGAATGTCTAGGGCTCCTCATCAGGGTGTCAGAGGGTGGGCACAGCATGCAGTATTCCTGTGTCACACTACACCCTCTTCCTTGTCCTGGGTAAGTGTGAAATAACACCTGTGGTGGGAAGCAGGGAGCTGTGGACAGAGGGCTGATATGCTGCATATGGGAGGAATTTCCTTTCATGTGGTCTAGTGTGACATTAGCACTTCCCAGCTCACTTGTAGGTGGCTTTGTAATCTACTGGATGCTAGTGCAGCTCAGTGTGGCTGTCATCTCGAGACAGCATGACAAAGAAGGGGAGTTTGATGTGTTAGGCTGCAGCCCTGTCTCAGTGTCTTATGGGGGCTGCTGAGTGGAGTTGCTGGGAAAGGACCTTCTCTCCCAACTTTTCATCTTGACCGTGGAGAAGTAACTAAGCATTGTGATGCAGGGTGGTCAGTGGTGCTCCCTGATGTTGCACGTGGACACTTGGCGTTGGCTTTGGGATGCTGGAGGGGCTGGACAGAATAGAAGGTTTGGGCTTCAAAAGAGAGCAAAGCAGCAAGGTAGACTAGACAGGAGAGAATTAATATTATGAAATGGATTTACATGGCGCCATCTTCATATCTTAGCTGGAGCTGTCAGGGAGAACGAGATCCAGACTCTGCTGTTCTCCAGAGTGAAGCCATTATGGAGCAATCGCTCTGTTAAAGTGATGGCTCCACCTCTGTGCCCTGTGTCTGGCTGATTTCTGCGAGTAGAAAACAGACAGGATCTGGCATGATCCCCCCTCCTTTCCCACTGGCCTTTCATGCCGTTCTGCAGACTTCTTTTGCTTGCTTTGTTGCTTTCAGCCCTTGTGTACCTGTTGATATCTTCCTCCCATCCCTACCTGCCTCTCAGCTCTACCACCTTGCCCTCTTTTTCATCCTCAGTCATCTCTGGCTCCCTCCATTCAGCACACAGCTGTACTGTAACATCCATCCAGTAAGTGAACATGTGTGTGCGTATTTGTTGCATACAGTACAGAAAGGGGGGTGTGTGGTAAATATGTAACTACCTTTGTTTTATCACACACTGCTCCATCTTCTGTTCTGGGGCTTGCCTTTTGGGGACTCACAGCATCTCTTCCTGGTGCTTCTGTCCTCTCCTGTTTCCGTGGTGACTCTCCTCTGCTGTGCAGGGGAGCAGGAGGGGAAGATGCAGAGCAACTCTATTGCTTCTTTCATATGCTGCTGGAAATAGTCTCGTCCTCCTCCTGCCTTCTGGTCAAAGCCCTTTGCTAGCTGGTTTAAGGAACTGAAACATGAGGAAAGAGATTTTGCCTTTAGTCCAGACCTTGACAGGGTCTTCAGGGTCACTGCCAGATGCTTCCCCTCATGTTCTTCAGGTGTGCAAGAAAGAGCTGATCTTTACCTAAGCAGGACAAGGGGAGTGAAACAAGGTCACAGTCTTCTCCTCACTCCCAGTATGGAGGTATGTGTCTTATGTATTTTCTTTGCTGTTTCTGACAGGTTGACCAGCCCAGATCATAGTGCTAGCGATCTGAAGCAAGGATCCTGACCGATGCATGTTCAGCGCAACCTGACTTCTTTGTGAGGAGAACAAATATTTCTCTGAAAGTCTGTCCCCTCAAAGCAGCACACAGGTAAGGCAAACAATGCTCCTGATGCTCAGGTTCAGCTTCTGCTGGGTATGGGCATGCTGCATTGGATTCAGCAGAGGACTTTTTCCATTCCTTTGTCACCTCTGTCTGCCATATCTGCAGGGGTGAAACCTTACATTGTATTTACAGCATGGGGAATGGTTTTCAGAAAAAAAAGGACTTCCAGAGGATCAAGACTGCTCATATAGTTGAGATAAATACAGGTTAAAGGTGTGGGAGGAGTATGCTGAAAAAAGAAAAACGTTGCATACAAGGTATTGTTAGAACAGTACTTAGACCTCTTGTTCCAAAATAATTTTATATTAAAAATTGCCTTAATTTAAACAGAAAACTTTTTAAGAAAAAGGAATAAGGAAGGATATGTTGTGGGGAAGGGGTTAAGTAAGAAATTAATTTAATACTTGAGTTTTCAACTGGGCAAGATGTTTCAGGTCATCGCTACGTGAAAAAAAGGAAAACAACCAACCAACCAACCAACCAACAAAAAAAAAAAACAAAAACAAAAACAAAAACAAACAGAAAAGCCTTGCAGTTCTAATCATTATGACTCATGGAAACCAGACCTAGAAAAAATGAGGCCCTTTAGTCCAAACTCTTAATCCCCTACTAGTATGTAACATCGTTCCCAGCAGTGTCTACCAGTCCTGATTTAAATGATGGGATTTTCCCTTGTCCCCTTGGGATACTATTGCACAGTCTAATAGAATTAATCTGCTTACTTCTCTTTCAACTCCTGACCACTGCAGATGCAATTAGTAGTAGGCGATGGGAGGATTTTGTTTCCTATGCTGTATTAGGAAGGCTTAGGGCTGTATTGTGTTAAACCAGACATCACTTGCAAGTGTGTTTGCATGAGTGTGGCTTATCTGTCAGTACTCATTACAGCCCCATAAACCTCTCTGAACTACATTTCTCAGACAGGAGCTTTTCTACAATGGTAATTCAGGATCTGATAAGACACAGACTAATGTATTTGAATGCCTGTGAGAACGATAGTATGATTGGAAACTGAAGTGAAATGCAAAGTCATATGCTGCCAGTGCTAGAGACTCTCAGAGGCAATTTACTTCTCTGCTTCTAGAGCATTCTCTGGCCTCATTTTTGACTTCTCTCTTGGACAGTTTGATAGAAGTTATATGAAATAGCTTTTTGCTGTGTGTGGTACTGCTGGAGGTACCACTCCACCTTTCCATCTGTGACTTTCAGGCTTGTCTTAGATGAATATTGTGGGTTTCTCTAATGCTTACTGAAAGACTCCAGTCAAATAGCCAGATGCATATAAAGTCAAATAAATTGGAGCTGGAAAATCACAGCTGGTCTTATCTAGCTAATCTCCACTTAATACAAAGTAGAGGTTCCTTCTATGACATTTCACCTATTTTGCTTCTCAAATTTGGACAAGTTTTATTAATGAAAACTATTAGATTCTAAAGCACATGGATGGAGTTTCAACTGGTTTACACCTGGAGACTATAGTAACAGCCGAGCTGTACAAACTGTGTATGTGGACACTTGGATTCATCCACTTCCACACTAAAAACCACGTCCTAATACAGAAAGCAACTGCAATATAATTGCTATTGATGTTTGAATGAGGCTGCAATGTGAAGCGGAGCCTGGGGTCCTGAAAAACTGGGCATGTGCCAGCCTTCCACATGGGCTGCATCCCATGGCACTAAAGGAGGTTATAGTCCTGTTCCTCCTCCCTCCCAATAAATCCTGTTTCTGGCATGTCATAGCTTTTCTGGAGTATTTCCTCAATCAGAAAGCCTAAATATGAATTTAGCCACTGGACCAGTCTTTCATTATCAAGATAAAATTTGTTAAAATTTGACTAATTCGCCTGTGTTTGTCAGATCCGAAGTTCTTAAACACTGAAGATTGAGTTGTAAATATTCAGTGCTAATTTTCCCATTGTTTTCAATCCCTTTGAAATTCTTTTCCAGCTTGGTGCTTGGCTACTTCATGTAGTGATTTTGAATGTACTTCAAAGAATGGGGAGGTGGTGACTGAAGCAAGGTGTAATGATCCATAGAGCTTTAGATCCATCTGCAGCTTATGTTCCCTGTCCTTGCTTTGCCAATCAAGCTTTATTCCAGTGAAAGTGTCAGTAAAGCCAAGGCAGATAAGTAGTGTTTCTCTTCTACTCTTCACCTTTCCTTTTCCCCCCGGAAGTTTTCTTGCTGCTCACTTTTTAAAAGCTCTGCATTAGCTGAGGAGGAGGAGGGGGGGGAGTTGAGAAGTAAAAGGCATGCTTTAAATACAGATGCTGGTGATAGTCCTTTCAAAAGCTGCATTTCTCAAGCTGGGAGCTATTGACCCCTTTCAATGCAGTCACAAAGAAATCCAAGAGGAAATGGAGGGTGAGGGCCAGCAGGGAATATATATATAAAATTTTTTCCCCCCAAGTCATCTTCTTACTTCACCTCCTGCCAGGCTGGCTATTGTTTGAGCCTCCACATGGGATACCAGTTACCATATAAGGAAAATGGCATTATGCTACATTCTTTCTAAAAATTGATTTTTAACAGTTGCTTTCTTCCCCCCACTCCCACCCCCCTTGTTGAAAATTGTTCTGTTTTGGTGGCAGCTCTAGCCAAAAGGAAAGTGGTAGGATATGGTATGCATGTATACAGTCTTGGGCTGTGCAAAAGATTTACTTTGTTAGTCCAGGTGGTTAGGCAAAGCAGCAGTAGAAAATTACGACATTCAGCTACTGTGACAGGAGCTGAGGATATTAGATTTTGCTGCATCTTGAACTCCGTAACAATGAGTAATAAATGTAAATAATGGTTTTTTCTTGCTTAAGAGGATGCTCAGGCAATGGAACAGAGGCACAGAGTACCCCTCTGTGTCCCTTTTTTTTTTCCACAATCTACCTTTTATTCATGTATGTTTGCAGCGCTGATGTAAGCACACCTCAGTTCTTACAAGGGGATCTCACCTTTTGCTCCTAGGGTTTTCTCTATAGAATTGTCCCTATTTTGGTGTTTGAAAGTTTAAGAGGTGAAAAATCTCTTTCCACTAAAATTTTGTGATTTGGTATCAAGTCCAGCTATCTCCATAGGCATCTGAAATATTCGAGCCCGCAGGAAGCAAGGCTGCAAGCAACAGTATTTTAGAGGCTGAGGTTCTTTCACGGGTAGCAGGGGTCGGTCAAAACATGCACCAGCTCAGGAAAAGGAGTCCTGAGGTTTGGGATTTTTTCCTGGTGCAACTGTCACTTACTGATGAACAGAAACTGCCTGCTTTTTTGAAATAAGTCTGACCTTCAAACAAACCCACCTAGCAACTTGTACACAGGAACAGCTGGAGCAACATGAGCACAAAGTAGGTTGAATCCCCTGATTCCAGAAAGCAGAGGCAGAGCCTGGAGTGGGAAAAGCATAGGTCTGGGAGCTGGGAGAAAGCCAGCTCTAGGAGAAGAAGGAGTGTGTGCTTGTGCATGTGAGCATAAGAGTTGGGCACTCTTCCTCTTGTGTCCTTTTGTATCCATAATTGGGATACATCTTCAGTCGTTCTTCCTATAGTTGCCATCACTTCTGACTTCCTGTGATGCCCTGTTGATTCTCCCTATAAAAATCTGTTCAGCAGCTTATACTGTTGCAAACTTGTTAAAAGTAAAAGCAGACAAAACTCTGTTCTCTCTTAGGAAGAGCAACAACAAATTTTGAAGATAATTTACCACAATCGTGTCACAATATTCAACCTGTGTTATGCTGAGGTGTGATTACAGAAGTGAAAAAAAGGAAAAGTACTTTCTATAAACACTTTTTTGGCAGAGAAATAATCGTTCAATATTACAGTTATTATTATCTGTGTATGCATTGAGAATATACACTTTTTTTTCTTTCTAAAATGTTGAACAATTTGACAAGTTTTAAAGAAACTGAAATTTTTGAGAATGGAATAAGGACTTCTTAAAGGTTCAGTGTTGTACATAAAAGCCTGTAAATGGTGCCTGCATTGACCTGCATTCTCATACTGAGAAAGTTTTAATTTTCTTTAATATATTCTTTTGATTGTGAATTTAACTGTTTGGAGAAGCTGTGCAACTCTTGAATATCTGCAAAATTAGTCTGCAAGAGAATCTTCTCATATGATAAATAGTGCTTACACTAAAGATACTATTGTGCAAACCTTCTGGGTTTTGCTTTACTCTGAGCTTGTGTTTGCATCAGTATAGCAGGGGAATGTGCTCATGTAGCTTTTTCTTTGCAAAAGGTGATTTGGTGCCTCCTAGATGCTGCCTACTGTGGTATCAAGAGGAGCTATCACTCATAGTGAGTGGTGTGGAACGATGCGAAGCGCCACGTGCTTGGTTCTCAAATTACCAGTGAAGCGGCTAACAGCTTCTGACACATACATGGCATTGGACGTCTGAGTTAACATTGCACAGATAAATGGGAAGCTCCTTGCCCAACAGCCATTGTTTCAAGCTCCCTGCAAACTCCCAGACCACGTATTTTGGTTACAGCCTGCTCGCATTGTAAATGTCGCAGTAACTGCTGTGGCCAGTGATGATATGTTTGTTGTGTGTGCACTAACAAGTGAAAGAGGGGCATGAGGGGTGAGTATCAGGTCAGCCATGAGGGCGTGTGTGCAGCCAGCACTGTTTCAGTCTGCCGCCAGTGAGCTCCTGTCTCTGAGGAGCAGCGCTTGGGATCTTGGCTAGGGTAGCAGGTTTCAGCTCTTCTAGCCATGGAAGGTGCTGTAAGGTGTTCATCAGGCTGCAAGTGGCTGCTGACAATGTGGGATGTGTTTGTCCCTTCTGTCTCTTATGGGTCTAGAGGTGGCAAGAAGAGCCACAGGACTCAAACGTCTCTAGAGCTGATTCTGCCAGCAGTGGATTGACCTTTTCAGAGGTATTGCTCCAGGGACTTGGAACTGATCCTTCTGATGTTAACTGTGGTTCATGTGGGGACTGGTTTTGGCTGTGCCTGTTTCCCTATGAAGCTGGAAATTATAATGGAGGAGGAGGA